GAGTCCAGGAGGACACCCAGATTGCGCACCCTATCCGAGGGGGCCAAAGTTTCGCCCCCTATAGTCAGCGATGGAACCAGCTGACTATGCCGAGGCGCCGGTAGCCACAGCCACTCGGTCTTGGAAGGGTTGAGCCTGAGTCTGTTCCTCCCCATCCAGACCCTCACGGCCTCCAGACACCGGGTCATCACGTCAAGGGGAGTTGAAGTCCACAAGTCATAAAAGGGCCAAGTTTGAAGACCCCTGATTTAGAGCTACTAGTTGGGCAGGAGCTGCAGCCAGGAACAGGAGCTCACCCCATCGCATGGCGCTGGGGTCTCAAACCTGGGCTGTCAAGCACAGCACCTTTAAACCTCTGAGCCATCGTAGGTTTAAGTAGGTTAAGCGAAAGATATTTTCCTCTTTAGACAGGCAAGAACATTGGGTAGAGGGGGTTATGTATAATATTGTTTTATATATTCTAGTTTGATCCTTGTAATATTGCAAGCTGCCCAGCGTTGCCTTGTGGCAAAGTAGGCAGCCCATAAATTTAATAAATAAATACGTGGGTTAGAATGCAGTATTTTAGGCTGACTCTGCTCACTGCCAGGAAGTTCGATCCTGACCGTCTCAAGATGGACTCGGTGTTCCATCCTTCTGAGGTCGGTAAAATGAGGACCCAGATTGTTGGGGGCAAATATGCTGACTCTGTAAACCGCTTAGAGAGGGCTGTAAAAGCACTGTGAAGCGGTATATAAGTCTAAGTGCTTATTGCTGTTGCTAAGTAAGTAAATAAGTAAGTAAGTAGATAATAATAATAATAATAATAATAATAATAATAATAATAATAATAATAATAATAATAATAATAATAATAGTAAAGTTGGAAGGGACCTTGAAGGTACACATTTAATTTGGGTGTCTGGGTGAGCCCAGTATTTATTTCTTAGGTTGATGGGCTATTTTGCCTTGATGATTAAACTAAGATGATTAAAAGCCCGGAGATTAAAACCTATGAAGAACGGTTGCAGGAACTGGGTATGGCCAGTCTAGACAAAATATGGACTAGGGGTGTGACATGATAGCAGTCTTCCAATATCTCAGGGGCTGCCCCAAAGAAGAGGGGGGTCAAATTATTCTCCAAGGCGCCTGAAGGCAGGACAAGAAGCAACTTGGATGGAAACTAACCAAGGAGAGAAGCAACCTGGAACTAAGGAGAAACTTCCTGACAGTCAGAACAATTAACCAGTGGAACGGCTGGCCACCAGAAGTTGTGGGTGCTCCATCACTGGAGGTTTTTAAGAAGAGACTGGACAGCCACCGGTCTGAAACGGTTATAGGGTGTCCTGCTTGAGCAAGGGGTTGGACTGGATGACCTCTAAGGTCCCTCCCAGCTCCATTCTGATTGATTGAAACCCCCGCTAGCTTCCCAAGAAGCCCTTCTGCCCTATGTTTCAGTCTTGGAGGGGGGTACCTCGCTTTCTTGTCCCCCCAAATTCAGCCAGGACCAGGCGCAGTCGCCCCTTCCCCTTTTTGGAACCAACCCTTCCTCGCGCGCCCTCCCCTTCAAACGCGCCCCTTCCCTCTCTGTCCCGGGGTCTCTCCCCCCTCCCATGCCGTCCCGGGGCTCTCTAGCCGGCCAGCCCTCCCCCCCAGGCACCCCCCTTCCCCACTTGCAACCCCCACTTGGCAAGACCCCCGTCCGGGTGTCTTGCCAAGCCGCTCCCCCCCTCTTGCGCGTCGGGCGGGCTCCGCGCGGCTTCCCCGACAGAGGCGGCGCCGGGCTGCGGAAGCCGGCAGAGGCGGGCGCTGGAGCCGAGGCGGGGCGAGGCTGAGAAGCCCCGGCGGTGGCGGCCGCTCCTCCTCGCTTTGATCCCCGCCACCGCCTCCTTCTCCGCCCAGGGAAGAGCAGAGAGCCCCGGAGGAGGAGGAGGAGGAAGAGGAGGAGAAAGGAGGAAGAGAAACAGAAGAAGGAGGAGGAGGAGAAGAAGGGGAGGAGGAAAAGAAGGAGAGGAGAAGGAGAAGGAAGAGGAGGAGGAGAAAGAGGAGGAGAAGGAGGAGGAAGAGGAGGAGGAAGAGAAACAGGAGGAGGAGGAGGAGAAGGGGAGGAGGAAAAGAAGAAGAAGAGGAGAAGGAGAAGGAAGAGGAGAAGGAGGAGGAAGAGAAAGAGGAGGAGGAGGAGAAGGGGAGGAGAAAGAGGAAAAGAGGAGGAGCTCCTCCTCCTCCTCCTCTTCCCCTCCTCCTTCTCTTTGTCCTCCTCTTCCCCTCCTCCTTTTCTTCTTCTTCTCCTCCTCCTCTTCCCCTCCTCCTTCTCCTCTTCTTCTCCTCCTCCTCCGCCTCTTCCGGAGGAGGAAGAGGAGGAGGAGAAGAAGAGGAGGAGGAGGAGAAGGGGAGGAGGAAGAGGAGGAGAAGAAGAAGAGGAGGAGGAGGAAGAGGCGGCTGGAGGCAGCGGCTGTTGCGCCCGTCGGACTCCGCGCGCCTCGCCCCGCTTTCCGTCCCCGGGGTGGGTCTCCTGCGCCCGGCCGGAGGCGGAGAGAAGATGGCCGGGGCCGAGGCCGGGCTGAGCGCAGGCGGGCTCCGGGAGCAGCCGCCGGGGGACCCCGGGGGCGCCTTCCTGGCTCCCGCCACCCCCGCCGAAGAGTCGTCGGACAGCGAAGGCGAGCCCGAGGGACCGCAGAAACTCATCCGCAAAGTCTCCACCTCGGGCCAGATCCGGAGCAAGGTGGGCGCGCCGCGGGGCTGGCTGGAGACGGGGTGCGGTGGGTGGGGTGGGTGGGGGGCGTCCCGGTCCCCCCCCGACGGGGCAGGGTTGGGGGGGTCTTGGCCTCGCTCCTGCCCCCTCCTCGGAGGAGGAAAGTTGGAGAGCGCGGCGCCTGGTGCCTTGTGGCCACCGCTCCTCCCTGCCTGTCCGGTTGCGCACAGCTGGAGGAGTCCCACCCTGCCCTTCCCTCCCCTCCCCTCCCCAGCCGGGCCGGACTGGCCAGGGCTGGGCTGGACTAGAAGACCTCCCGGCGTCCGGGAGGCAAAGACAGCGGTGTGTGTGTGTGGGGGGTGTCCCAGGTCTGCTTGTCCCCCCCCCCGCCTCCTGTTTCCTGCCCTTTTCCTCCGGATCTCTGGCTCGCCTGGCCCAGCTGGAGAAACCCCGGGCGCGCGCTCCAGATGTGCTGTGCATCGGTTAGAATGGAGCTGGAAGGGACCTGGGTGGTCTTCTAGTCCAGCCCCTGGCTTAAGCAGCCTAGCTCTAGAGACCGTTTCAGACCAGCGGCTGTCCAGTCTCTTTGTAAAAGTCTCCAGTGTTGGAGCATCCACCACTTCTGGAGGTCAAGCTATTCGGGAATAACAGAATTGGAAGGGACCTGGGAGGTCTTCTAGTCCAGCCCCACCCCCCTACCCCGTTCAAGCAGGAGACCCTAAAGCAGTGGTGGCGAATCTGTGGCACGGGTGCCAGAGGCGGCACTCAGAGCCCTCTCTGTGGGCACGGGCGCCGTCGCCCCAGTCCTAGGCCTTCAGCTGGGTTTTATAAACCCTTTTTGCTTTAGGCCTCCACCCGCCATGTGCAAAAAACAAAAAAGGTTCAATCAATCAGTCAATTTCAACTTCTCCAGGAGGGGAAAAAAAAAAGATCTTGCAAAGTTGGAATTGATTGATTGAACTTTTTAGCCCCACCCAGTCTGCCGTTACCACCGCAGCCACGCCCAGCCAATGGGCCACGCCTACCCGATGGGCCACACCCACCCGGCACCCGGCGATGCATAAGTGGGTTTTGGGTTGCAGTTTGGGCACTCGGTCTCTAAAAGCTTCGCCATCACTGCCCTAAAGCATTTCAGACAGGTGGCTGTCCAGTCTCTTCTTAAAAGTCTCCAGTGATGAAGCATCCACAGCTTCTGAAGGCAAGCCATTCGGGAATAATAGAAGAACAGAATTGGAAGGGACCTTGGAGGTCTTCTAGTCCAGCCCTCTGCTCAAGCAGAAGACCCTGGACGATTTCAGACAAGTGGCTGTCCAGTCTCTTCTTAAAAGTCTCCAGTGATGAAGCAGTACCCACAATGTCTGAAGGCAAAGCTGTTCCACTGGTTAATTGTTCTCACTGTCAGGAAGTTTCTCCTTAATTCCAGGTTGCTTCTCTCTTTGGTCAGTTTCCATCCCTTGCTTCTTATCCTGCCTTTAGCTGCTTTGGAGAATAGCTTGACCCCCTCCTCTTTGGGGCAGCCCCTCAAATGCTGCTATCATGTCCCCCCCAGTCCTTCTTTTCTCTAGACTAGCCATACATGCTTCCTGCAACTGTTCTTCATCGGTTTTAGTCTCCAGGCCTTTAATCCCCGGGAGAACCCCAGAACCAACACAGCAAAAGGCAGCTGGAAATTAGCGCGGTTAGTTCTCTTGTGTTGGATCTCAGGTGGGCAGGCCCTTTCAGATCAAGGAGTTTTCTCAAAACACCTGAAAACTGCAGCTTGAACTGAAAAAGCTCCTTGAAAGAGAAGTGGAAGGTTTTAAAGGGGGGGGAACCCCAAGAAAGTCCACTTGCCTTTTGGAAAAAGCACCTTTGGGACAATCGTGACCTGGACGATTTGAGAGTCTCCAGGTAGCTGGAAAGGATGACGGGTGAAGGAGCTGCGCCTTGTGTTGGCCACTTGGGAGTCTAGTTCCACCTTTCAGCGCTGGCCAGTGTGGTAGGTTCCTTGGCTCAAAGCCACCCTGCCTTCCTTCCCAGGCCGCATGACCCTCCTGGCTGAGTTCCCATGATCTCCTGACCGGCTGCTGAACCTTTTATTGGGGTCCTTCAATAGGCTGGGCTGGAAACCGAAGCCAGCAGCCAGGGCCGGTCTGCCTGGCATAAGACTGGGCCTCCAGCACCCTCAAAGGCTTTACTGGTAATGCAAATGGAGCCGGGTGGCCTTTAATTAACCTGGTTACATTCACATGGGGAGAACTCATGGGGAGAAAGAGGGCAGAGAAGAGCAACAAAGATGATTAGGGGACTGGAGGCTAAAACATACGAAGAACATTTGCAGGAATTAGGTATGTCTAGTTTAACGAAGAGAAGGATGAGGGGGGACATGATAGCAGTGTTCCAATATCCCAGGGGCTGCCCCAAAGAAGAGGGAGTCAAGCTATTTTCCAAAGCACAGGACAAGAAGCAACGGGTGGAAACTAATCAAGGAGAGAAGCAACCTAGAACTAAGGAGAAACTTCCTGACAGTTAGAACAATTAACCAGTGGAACAACCTGCCTCCAGAAGCGGTGAATGCTCCAACACTGGAAGTTTTTAAGAAGAGACTGGACAGCCATTTGTCTGAAATGGTACAGGGTTTCCTGCCTGAGCAGGGGGCTGGACTAGATGACCTCCAAGGCCTCTTCCAACTTTATCATCATCATCATCATCATCATCATCATCATCATCATCATCACCTCCAAGGTCCCTTCCAACTTTATTATTATTATTATGGATCATTGCACAGTCAGCCAGATGTTCAGACTGGATTTGGCATTTTGTCTACCTATCGAGTCCTTCCCAAGGACCTGGGATAGGCAGATGTGGATGTTTGATGGTATCACAGATCTCGTCGCAGGATGGAAGCAATTCCTAGTAAGGCTGCCTTTTGCAATTGACTCATGGCGAATTTGTCAATGCCGATGATGGTGTCCAAGTGGTGCTCCAGTTGTTTTGGGATTGCACCCAAGGCGCCTATTACTATTGGTACTACCCTTGCTTGCTTTTGCCACAGTCTTTCTATTTCTATTTGTAAGTCTTTGTATTTTGTTATCTTCTCCAGTTCTTTCTCGTCTATTCTGCTGTCTCCAGGCACTGCCACGTCCACCATCCAGACTTTTTTGTCTTTCTTATCGACAATTGTGAAGTCCGGGGTGTTATGTTGCAGGTGCTTGTCTGTTTCAAGTCTGAAGTCCCAGAGCAGTTTAATTTTATCATTTTCTATGACTTTCTCTATTTTATGACCCCACCAGTTCTTGCTTACAGGTAAATGATATTTCTTGCAGATCTTCCAATGCACCATTGTTGCTACTTTGTCATGCCGCTGCTTGTAGTCAGTCTGTGCGATCTTCTTGCAGCAGCTTACCAGGTGGTCCACTGTTTCTTCAGCTTCTTTGCATAGGCGGCACTTACTGTCTGTTGCTGTCTTCTCAATTTTGACTTTGTATGCATTTGTCCTTAAGGCTTGGCCTTGTTGTTGTTGTTGTTATTATTAATTTATAATATGGAATGCAAAAATACAAAAGAATGTAATAGGAAAATAGGGGAAGGAAACGGGAAGGAGAAGAAGTGGGAAAAAGGTGGAAAAAGAAAGAAAAATCAGGGACGTCCGACTCCTTTTGGTGCAGTAGAATAAGCCTCAAACCTTGACTTTTTATTTTTATATAACACTAGCTGTACCCAGCCACGCGTTGCTGTGGCTCAGTCTGGTTAAATGAAAAACAATGAAAAAAGCATGTTTTTACCTGTCACAGGTGTGACATCTATATAATAGTAGGTATATAAAAACACGCGCGTATTTGAATGCAACGTTGTGTCAAAATTTCAAAGCAATCGGTGAAGAACTTTCGGAGATTTAAGATTTTGAACAAATGAACATTTACATTTTTATTTATGTAGATATACTAGTCGTTTCTATAACAACAAAACTACCGAATCGGTAAAACCCAAAATCAAAGTTTCATTTTTTTCCCCCCCACCTCAAGCACAATGTCCAGAAGCGGTTTCCAAGCAGAAACAAAATTAATTGTGTTCTTTTTTATTTTATTTTAATCAAAGCAATCAATTTAGCCACCTCTGCTGACTCCATCAACTTTTGCGTCCATTTGTCCATTGTGGAAATCAAAGTGTCCTTCCATCGCATTGCATAATTTCATATCCTATCCAATCCTTCTGGCTATTTTACCAATTGATTGTGATTGTGAATATTCCCAGATCCAGCGTTTATGAAGTGAATCCTTGGTTAAAGCCGAATGAATTGCAAGCACCTTGTGAAAGCAGTTCTGTATTTAAAGACCCATTTATGCAGCAGATTCACATTAATAATAATAATAATAATAATAATAATAATAATAATAATAATAATAATAATAATAATAATAATAATAATAATAAAGTTGGAAGGGACCTTGGAGGTCATCTAGTCCAACTCCCTGCTCAGGCAGGAAACCCTATACCATTTCAGACAAATGTCTATCCAGTCTCTTCTTAAAAGCTTCCAGGGTTGGAGCATTCACCGCTTCTGGAGGCAGGTTGTTCCACTGGTTAATTGTTCTCACTGTCAGGAAATCTCTCCTTAGTTCTAGGTTGCTTCTCTCTGCTACCCATTCTAAAAAAACATATTCAAAATTCACAGCCGCAACCCAAATGTTACCAAGGAATATTCCAGTTTTCAAATTCTCCAGAATTTTTTTTATTTTTTATCAAGGGTGTAGTAAAGCAGCTGATGAGGAAGAACTAAAACATTTTTTTTTCTTTTTAAACTGGCCAGAAGCTTCAGCCCTGCAATCTGCAGCTGGGAACCAAGTCTGAGAGAGAGTTTTGGAGTCTGAACAAACCTATTAATGCGTGATATCACTTGAGGTCAATTTATTCCTTGCATTCAGGAGTGGCAAAAAATGGTCCTAATTATAATTAGAATTATAATTACAAAGCTGTAATTACAAATATATATATATAAATGCCACTGGTTGTTCAGATCAGCCCTTTTGCACCTGTAATTTAGCAAACGA